ATTAATAGTAGGAATGTAAGACATATACATTAGGCCATAATCTAATTTTTCCTTATTGAAGTGTTTGTCAACTTCAACATGTTTGGTTTTATTATGAAGTACTAGATTATGAGCAATAGTAATGGCAGCTTTGTTATCACAGTAAACTTTCATAGGCAACGGATTGTAGCCCTTAGTTCTTCCAACAGTTTTTTTACTCGCAAAACTTTAGAAATCCCATGAGCAACTACTCTAAGCTCTGCCTCTTTACTACTCCTAGCCACCACATTTTGCTTCTTACTCCGCCAAGTAACCAAATTACCTCCAACAAAGGTGCAATACCTAGAAGTTGATCTTCTATCTATTTTACTCCTAGCCCAATATGCATCTGTGTAAACTTCAACTTGAAGATACCCACAATTTTCAAATAGAAGACCTTTTCCTAGAGTTCCTTTTAAGTATCTCAGTATTCTATAAACAACATCAAAATGTTCCTTTTCAGGTGAGTACATAAACTGACTTACTATGCTAACTGCAAAGGCTATATCATGACAAGTGTGACAAAGGTAATTTAGTTTACCAACTAGCCATTGAAACTTTCCTTTGTCGATTACTTCTTCAGGCTTGGCATGTTGCATTTTTAAGTTGGACTCTATAGATGTCTCAGTCGCTTGACACCCTAGCGAACCTGTTTCCCCTAGCAAATCAAGCACATATTTTCGTTGAGAAATAAATATCCTTTTCTTAGACCTAGAGAATTCAATATCTAGGAAGTACTTCATTGTACCCAAGTCCTTAATATTAAATTCAGGGGTAAGAACCATCTTTAATCTTTCAAGTTCAGCAAAATCATCTCCTTTCAATATTATGTCTTCTACATAAACAATTAAAATTGCAATTTTCCCATCACTTGAGTGTTTAAAAATAAACATGTGATCAACTTGGTTTTGACCGTAACCCTGACCTTTTACAGCTTTCTCGAATCGCTTAAACTAAGATATCTTCAATCTACATGCCTTCTCACTTCCTAGTTTACCTTCGAATCTAGGTGGTAACTCCATAAATACCTCCTCTTCCAAATCTCCATTTAAAAAAAACATTTTTCACATCTTACTAATGTAAATGCCCATTAGGATGTACTGTAAGAGCAAGTAAGACATGAATTGAGTTAATTTTGGCTACTGGCGCAAATGTTTCTTGGTAGTTAATTCCAAAGGTCTATGTGAATCCCTTGGCTACTAGTCGTGCTTTGTATCTTTCTACACTTACTTTGTTTTTAATTGTAAACACCTATTTACAACCCACAATTTTCTTTTCCTTGGGTAAATCAACAATTTCCCAAGTACCATATTTTCGAAGAGCCTCTATTTCTTTTAAAACTGCTAGCTTCCAATCCGGGTGATCTAGGGCTTCCTAGATATCTCTTGTAACAAACAGGTGAGAAATATTTCCTCAAAAATTTAAATTCCACCTAATAGACAATGAAGAAAAACCATTCTACTACTAATAGTAACAAAATGAGAGGTTGAAATTCTATAGAGATGAGGAAATAAAGTGCTAAGTGGAGTTCCAAATTTAAAATAATCAACAAACTCTAGCTAAAATAAATTACCACTGGACGCGCAGTCAATTCTCTTCACTTCCCTTAATATCCATCGCTGATCTTTTCTCACAACATCTTCTTATATTTGAAGGTTAAAAACAAATCCCAGAAGCAAACAAACAATAGTAACAGATTGATTGGCAAAGGAATGCAAAGAATACATTGGAAATTGGAGAGCTAGCTACCCTTGTTGCTTTGCTTGGGAATGTTGTCTTGAATGGTTTGAAAAAATGATTGTAAAGTTTGGAAGCTTGGTTTTTAAAACTGTTTTTTCCCTTATAATTGGCTTGTTAATGTTTGGTGGACAATTCTAAGTCTTTGGCATTGTGTAGCCATTACATTTTAAAATTTGGTGGACATTTATTAGTGAATTTAAGAATGCAATCCTTGATGAATGAAAACCCCCTGTCCATGACAATTAACCTGGTATAACTTTGGTGTCATTTTGCTCTTTAAAACAACATATATAGAATTGTTTGATCTTCTTGTCACTCATCTTATGCATCCATTTATTAGAGTAGTTTTCTTAAAGAATCAAACCATAAATTAATGTGTCAAGGTAATCAATATTTTTTGTTTAGTATAACTTAACATGTATGTAAGGTAGAAAACTAGATTTTTAGCATTCAATAAATTTAATTAAAGTGTCTCTGGATGCATGCAATATTTTGGCTCAACCTCTTTAGAGAATCTTAATCTACCATTGTCAGACCTTAGTGTACCACAAACAAGGGGAGATATACTACAAGATAATCTCTTGCCTTCTGAGCTTTGTGTTTATACTAGATCAAAATTTCATCCTAATAGTGGGAATCATCCTAACAACTGTTAGCAGGGCCAACCTTCAATTCTAAATTCTTGAGGTTTAGGTACTCTTCCAATTATACCTACTTTTGTACCTTTGTCAGATCTTGATGTTCCTATAGTAATTAGAAAAGGTGTACAAACATGCACTAAACATCCCATTGCTAAGTATTTATCTTACCATAAACTCTCACAAAATCATAAGGCCTTTACTTCATTAAGCTTGGCCGCCACAAGTCAGGTCAAGATTATGTTATGTTTTGCTTGGATGCCAATTGAATGGCTTAGATTTCATCTTGATTAGCGCATTATTTGTAAGGTCTTATATAAGGCCAAGTTCTTCCATTGTAATGTTTAAAATTGATGAATGAAAATCAAGTATTTGGTGAGAGCATTTTATCTATCTTTTGTCCAAGTTTTAGCCTAGCTCGGTGGTGGAAATCCAAACCGGTGGCATTGCCTTTACGTTTGGAGACCCTTGTTCGGTGGCCTAGCCTTTACGACTTAGGGTTGGCTTTTATCTTGTGTTATTTGGTGTTGTTAGTGATATTCCCTAGCCAATGATGTTGTCTTTACACTTTGGGAGTTCATTGGCATCTGCCTTAATTTATCTTGTGTTGTTTTATCTTGTAGTTGTGTTGCCGAAGTGTTTGTTATCTTTGTGAGTTGTTATTGTTGCCGATTTAGTCAATTTTTTAGAGTAACTGATGCAGAATCTAGAAGTGTTGTTGTTTGATGTTGTTTTAACTCACTCTAAGCTTCCATAAATGCATAATTTATTTTCTCTTATTGATCATTGTCCACTCATTTTGATGGGGCACTTTGGTGTTTTGCATCGGCTTACTTTCCTTAGGGGCATCTCGATAATTCTTGGATTGATGATTGAAAACTTTACACCACGAACATGTCATAGGCTTCCAAGCATACTCCACATGTAAATCCACCAAGTCCGCAATAGAGAGCACAAGTTCAATAATCTCCGAAAAATTCGAAGACGAATCAATCTCCACACGTACTCTAGCAAATTCAAGCCTATCACCTATATCGGTACTTTCCTCACTCCCTCTTTAGATAAGTTTAGGTTTGAGCACCATTTCTTGAGGAATAATGGTTGACCGACCACATGCCAAGGCCTTCCCTCCAACACTTGGTCCCTACTGACATCATCCTCAAACTTAAAAATGAAACCTCCTATCCTATGTGAAATAACCCTAATATTCCCAAGTTTTCCCTATGCTATAACCACATAGTTCTTGACCACCAAAAAAGGTAATTTCTTCCCAAGGAAAAAACCAATTAGGTAATTCCTCCATTTATCCAACCCCAAATTTGCAACTTTTTCATGAGGGGATACTCTCACTTTGCTCCCAATACCCACATACTCCAGCTCAAAAAACTCCAATTTCGTATTGGATCTTTTAGAAATAAAAAGCTTATTCTAAGCACCTTGAGAAGCACCATCACAGGAATACTGACTAACCTCACCCTTGCTATTTTCTGTTTCCCTTATCATCTAATACTCGTTAGAGCCACTTCCTTCCAATGGCCTACACATTTCACTCTTGACCACTCCCTTAACATTCGAATTCGAATTTTGCTTAGTAAGGAGAAGAGGGAAATCAACACTATCCACACTCTTTTCTTTACTCAAAACCAAACTCTCACCTACTTCAAAAACCCCCATTGAACTAAGGAACCAACAAGCAAAGAAGAAAAAGGAGGGAAGCTAACGGTTATAACTTCTTTTAAAAAAAAAAAATCTCTCTCCTAGTGACATGACACCAAGGGTGTCGTCGCACATGTGGCAAGTGAAGGGGATGATGTGGCAATGGGGTGGAGAAAACTGACAAGTATAAGGATAAGATAATGTGGCGGGTCGGTTGATAAAGGGATAAGGTAATCACAAGGAACCAATAGAAGAGAGGTGACGTGAAAAGGTAAGGACAAAGGATAAGGTAGCAATCTCTCAAGCCAATGGAAGCATGTCACGTGGCGGATAAGAAAAGAAATGAAGGAACAGGAGGAAAATTCAAAAAATCGAAGAGAGAGGGAAGGAAGGCATAACCCTCCAGTGGAAAATTAATCTCCAGCTATCCAACATCAACCAACTCATAGCCAAAGCAAAGGACAACACCAACTCTGGAAAAACATGACCAAACCAAAAACTACTTTTTCTCCATAAACGACTAAGCACAAGCAACAAGAAAAAGAAAGAGAAGAGGGATATCGACCAAGGAGAAAAAAGTGGATGGTGGAGGAGAAAGATAAAAGTGGTGGCAAAATGGATGCGGATGGAGGAAAGGTGGTGGATTGGTGGGAAAGGTGAAGAGTGGCAGGTTGACTATCCTAGAGAGAACTCATTAGTCATTAGTACATTACTTAATTAAACGGTTAAAAAATCTAATTAATTGTAACATTACATTATAAATTTATAATACGATTTCTTAATTAATTATAACATTACATTATGAACATTAGTACAATATTTAATTAAATAATTAGAAATTTAATTAATTATAACATTATATTATAAATCTATAGTATGATTACTTAATTAATTATAACATTACATTATAAACATTAGTACAATATTTAATTAAATAATTAGAAATTTAATTAATTATAACATTAAATTATACATGAATAGTATGATTACTTAATTAATTATAACATTACATTATAATTAAATAATTACTTAATTAATTACAAGATTACTATATTACATTATAAACATTAATAATTTATAACATTAAATTTACTACATTAGTATTTAGTATATTATAAATACCCAATTATAACATTAAATTAATAAATTTATAAACATTAATAATTTATTAATTTATCAAATAGACCCCTGTTCAATGTTAGTATAAAATAATGGGGTATCTTGTAATTTTACATTTACAAACACAAAGCAAAATAGTGAAAATACCCAATTCGATTAGGGTATTATCTCAATAACTCTTTATTCTTTTCTTCTCCATTCTCTTTGTCGTCTTCTTCTCCTGTGTTTTCTGAAACTTCAAGTGTTGATTCTCCGAGGCATATTACTCAGATTGAAGGTGCGTGATATGAAACTAATAAACTATGTTAATATTATTCTCTCTCTTTGGCGTTATTAACTTATAATGCTGTAATCCATATTTCTCTTTTTCTTTAATTCCTTTTATTCTTTCTGTTCAGTCGCCTTTGTATTGTGCTTGTGCTTGTGGGGCTTCTCTTTTGGCCCCTTAAAACAATGGTAATTGAAAGAGATTAGTGATTTGTGAACTGGGTTTCGTTTCTTTGAAGCAATTTCTCACAATTATAATCCATAACTACAATCCACAGACATGTAATGCACAATGCTATATATGATTTAATTTTATAAATTTTTATATAACTCTGCTACAATTTGCAGCAGTTGCAAGCTGCTGC